TTTTTTGTTTTAGTATTTTGAAGTTGACCAATTGTTACTATAAGCAATTAATGATTATAGATGATCTGCACCGTACCTATAATAACATTATGTTTGATTAGGATTTAAATAATAATAATAAGTGTTAATTATTATGAAATTGCATAATAATAATTTACATTTCTCTGTATTTAACAACATCATCACTTTCATGACCATCCACATAAATTCCTTTTTATATTTATCATAAACAAGGCCTTGTTTTTTTAACCATCTTGTTGCAGTTTTTTTACTATAAAATGTAAAAAAAAGTTAATGTTAAGTACATAATAAAATTGACAATAATTAAAATAAACTTTATTTCTTCTAGATTCTCAATCCCTATTGATGGAAAGACATCATTAGTAATAAACTATTGAAATTTTTCAACAGTTACATTGAACTTTTCTTTTCTTAGATATGATGATATTTTTATTTGAATATCCTCATCATCTAAAAGGCTCCCAACAAGATGTTTCCCTTTCTGACCTTGTGGAATATTTCTAAATTCCATAAAAGATTTTTCCCAACTTCTTATACACCTAGAAAACCAAGGACCTTTATTTAACAATTGAGCGACTATATTTGATGCATATAACTTTCCCCTATTTTGATTCAATAATTTGAAATAATTTTGTATGTTTTAAGTTTAATTTTATATCCATTTGAAGCAGTAGATGGATCATTTAATAATTTGTCTATTTTTTCAATTTCATCTTCATATTCTTGATCTTCCATAAGGTTGTTTTCAATTGCATTACTTTCTTCAATCAAGTAATCATTGTGGGAGTTCATATCATTTTCATTCATTTGAATATTTTTTTTTTCTGTAGAGAAAAATCTATCTAATGTGTTCCCATTTTTTTCAGCATCTAACATTCCAATTTTTTTCTTCTCAGAATTTCCAAGATAACTAAGTGGTCTTTTAGATCTAGCATAAGATTTCATGTTTTCAGTTAGTAATTCAAATATTGAATTACTATTTTCAAAACTATTATCAAACCACTCAATAGTATCATCATTATCATCATCAGAACTTTCATCAAAATCATCTAGTTCTCTATTACTTTGTTAAATAAAAATATGAATTAAATTACAAAAAATAATAAATAACATACTTAAATCATTTATATATATCTCACATTTCATTATCAATAAATTCATTTAATTCATTTGCATTATTAATTTCTTGATTCTTATCTTTAATTGATTCTTGTCTAAATTTGACAGATGATTGTGCTATTTTTTTAAGATGCTGATTTTTATTAGATACTCTACCCATATTTTATTGGGATAAATTTATAATTAAAAATCTTTATAATTATTTGTTAATTTGCAAGGAGTATAAATGTGTCGCATATTAACTTCATGAAACCAAAAAAATTAATGCCGGCAAAATTTAAAAGTTTCCAATCCTTTGGCCCAGGTTAAGTCATAATCTTGGCAAAATTTTTGTGGCCAAATTTAAAAATGTGTATAAATATAATTAATTTTAATTCCTTATCGCTCCCCCAAAAATAAACCAATTTTAAAAAACTCAATGCTAAGAGTTAGCTTTTGATTATTTATTTCAACTCATGTTGTTAAAATTTTTATTATTACATAAAATTAAAAGTTATTGACATTTAAAGTAAACCAATATTTTATGGATCATTTATTGTGACACACACTGTAGAATATAGTTTTATATGTCATGCGGAGTCTAGCTCCATGGCTTTATTCACATAACAGTACAATATATGGTGATACCTAATTTGTTGGAATATTACTTATAATTTCAAGCATTGTTTTTCTTGAGGAAATAAATAAATGGGTGGTTTTCAACTTTAAATTTTCATTGAAAAGCAAACCAAATGATGTTACACCGAGTTACAGTGCAACAAATCCAAGGAATGGGTACTTGAAAAAAGTTTATAACCAGAACATTTTTGATGTAAGTAAACAAGTCACTCTGAAAAGTTTGTGGGGTGTTTCTCATCTAACTTTCCTGCACAAGTAGAAAATGGGACAGTTCTACACATGAAAAATTGCAAGAACTCCATCATTTTAATGCTTTGTGTTGAGTTGACATACTGGGGGCAATAGTGCATTTTTTAACACTGCACTGTTCAAATGAATTATTTTATGATGTTGATAAAACACGAATTATTTTTTTTATTTTAATTTTAGGATTTGTCTAACCATTTCTGTGTTCATTATTGACCTTTAAAGATATAGAGAATTACATGATCATGATTGACCTTTAAACACATAATTTAAGGGTCTCATTTGACCTTATAGAATTTCTGAATCACCTTTGACCTTTAAAATGTGCAGAGGGTAAAATTGATTTTGAAAACACAGATAATTTCTGGGTCACAACTAATATAGAGAATTTCAGGGACACATTTGACCTTTAAAATACAGTGAATTTCAGGGACACAATTAACCCTGAAAATGTATTAGAGAATTTTAGGGTCACAATTGACCTTGAAAATGTATTAGGTTTACAATTGTTCTTAAATAGAGAATTTCAGGGTCACAATTGACATTGAAGATGTATAGAGAATACCATGTATCAAAAAGTTCATACAAACACAGTTTTCACAAAATTTGTCTGAATATCTAATTTGCCTTCATTAAATTCTTCTGGTTCACCCGATTTAAAAATAACATTGTCTAATTCAAACTTATAAATAAATTGTTTTTTACAATATTCCTTTTCATCTTCTGAAAGTTTTTCATTTTCGATTATTAATATAAAAATGCAGCCTCTTGAATTTCATTTCTAGATGTGTTTGATGAAGTGTTATTACAAGTATCATTTGCAATTGATAAAGAATTATTAAATAATTCAAAACAAGATTTAGATACAAAAGTTTTTCTGTCTGGTGATAATAAATTGTAATATGACATTATTAAGATAGTAGATGTAAAAATCTTTTTATGGATAAGTATTTTATCATGCAAAGAAATCTAAAGTTGTTTCTGACGCAAATTAAAAGCACAATGTAAAAAAACTATTGGAGTCCTGTTAGAGACAATTATAAAGAATAATGTTGATTGATTGAAACGATTTATGGCTAAATAATGTCAAAATATTGTAGAAAATAAAACATTGATTTTTTAATAAAAAAGGATTTATTTTTTTGTTGTTAATAGATATGTTCTTTTTTATTCCAACTCTATATAACTTGTTAGAAAATTAAATTTAATATTTTATATTGACTAAATATTCTTTTACCGCTATTTGGTTTGTAGTGGTTCGGTTAAATTTGAGGAGAGAATTTGATTTTGACATCCTACAGGTTCATTATTTTATTTACAGTGTGTAACGAAAAAAATTGCCTTCACGAAAACTGAAATAAATTTGAAATAAATAAGGAAATACGTTGTAAAT